AAACAATGGGAAAATATGTGACTGAAAGGATTGAAATTCATACTATGCTATAATCTTAAAGAGATTTTTTTTAAAATGTACCTTTTATTTTTAGATTTTTTTGTCCCGCCTTTATTATTTTTATAAATAACTCAGGGCGGTGAACATACCTAATACTCCTTCCTCCTCTATTTCCCCCACAACAACAACCCTGTGAGGTGAGTTGGGCTAAGAGAGAGTGATTGGCCCAAAGTCACCCAGCCGGCTTTCGTGCCTAAGGTGGGACTAGAACTCATAGTCTCCTGGTTCCCAGCCTGGTGCCTTAACCACTAGACCATATCGGCTAGTGTACAAATACAATATACATATACAATTGACATATACAATTGACATATATAAACAATACAAAATGATGTACTGTTGGTATATGTCACCAGAGAAATTGCCTAGAATGTATAAAGGCACTTCAAATTTATGTTGGAAATGTCAACAACAAGAAGGCACATTTTATCATGTTTGGTGAACATGTAAAAAAGCTAGAAAATTACATACACTGATTCAGAGGATTTTCAAGATTAATATACAATTGAAACCAGAGGTTTTTCTTTTGGGGTTGCATGACAAAAGTTATGGAACTTTGTTTTTGTACATGATAACTGTAGTGAGATTATTGTATGCACAAAGATGGAAAGATTCGGCGCTACCCACAATGGAGGAATGGTTGGTGAAGATGATGGAACTTGCTGAGATGGCCAAATTGACTTCTTTGATCAGAGAAAAGACAATATCTACGTTTACTGCTGACTGGAAACCCCTCATGGACTTTTTGTGTGAAACATAAAAAAATGAACTTACGATTCATGGATCTGATGATTAGACAGGATAGATTACAGAAAGACGAGTTATGTTGTAAATTTATAATTGTACTTATAACTGCTATAAAGAAGATTGGAAGCTACTTCTTTATATCTTTTTTCTTTCTTTTCTATTTTTCTTTTACTTTTCCCCCCATTCTTGTGCCTTTAGCTTTCTCTTTGATTTTTTTTCTTTCTTTTCTTTTTCTTACTTCACATTAGTTTGTATTATTTTTTATCTTCCTTTTAAAAAAATCTTTAATAAAAATTATATAAAGAGAAGGCTGCTCTAGATCTTCAGCTGACTTCTCTTCATGGGAATAAATGTAGAAATTTAATACCTACTATTGACCTTTTAGGAAAATCTGTAAGCATTGGAAGAGATAGGCTCAGTGCTTCCTAAAAGAATTAGAATAATATATTTTAAGCTTCCATGGGTCGTAACAAATGAATAACATTATGTCAATTCTAAAATAAAAAGGGCCTTTTTCCCAGAATGTCTCAGTGGGGACCAGCCTCTAAACTGTACAAGCAGCAAGAAATGAGGGGAGGAAGATGAAAACACTGTTGGCTTTTTGCTTGTTTTTTGTGTAGTACACTTGTGTCTTGCCTTGTATGCAGAGAAGTGGGAAGGATAGGTTAAGTCAAGGTACTCTTGTGCAACTCTGTTATCTTTATTAGGATAAACTGATATGTACAGTACATAAGTGTTATTCCTGCTCTGTTGAGCTTAATATGTGAGGAATGAAAACATGCAGTCTCATGCAGGTGATTTGGGGAAGGGATGCCTATTAAATTGCAGAAGACTATAAATTATATGGCTGACATTAAAATCCAAACGTGTGCACTGCTCTATGCCAATCAACTGAGACTATGTTGTCTTGGCTTTAGACCTTTACAAAGTGGTGTTTTACCTTCTGGGTTATAGCCCACCTATAGTATGGACACCACTGGTGGGTTGCATTCTCCTTGCCTCTGGATTCCTCAAGATTAGGGACCTTCTTGGGCAGTTTCAGGAAACAAATAGAGAATGCAAGGAGTAAGAAAAATGATAGCTGGATCAGCAAGAGTCCACTTTTGTGACATTAGAAGTGGTCCAGGGTTTTAAAATGTCTGATGTATTGGTCATCTTTGTATGAATTTGTGTGTGTGTTTTGGATTTGCACTGATGCAGGCTCCCTGACTGTTGTGGAGTTATGAAATGTTATTTTTTTGTATTTTCTTACTGCTATCATAGCACTGTTCTTAAGTAAGTCTTATGTAAGTCCATCTTAGTTCTTATGTAAGTCCATCTATAAATAAAGACATATTTTTAATTTCAGCTCGCAGGTTATCACTAAAAGTGTACAGGTACCTTATCTGGCACCTTTTATAAAAGCAGCATGTAAATAGGTAAAATGAAGATAGGGACTCTGCACATTAGTTATTTCTTGGAAGAATTAAAGTTTAAATCTAAATTTATTGAGCAGATAAACTGAAAGACGTTTAACTAGCCAGAGGGTTTCCATGTTCGGACTGATGATCTTACTTTTACCCATGTGCTCAAGTTCTCATACATTAAAACATTCTGTTGCTCCTTTATTCTTTTGTGTGTAATAAAATTTTAATTCTGGAATCAAGCTGCTGCTTCCTTACCTCAAAGTGTAACATTAGAATCCAGAAAACTGATATTTCTCATACTATATCCCCAACCAGACTTTGGTCTTAGACAGCTTAAAGAGGAACATCAGTAGCAATACTTTTCTATGCAATGCAGTGGATTCCATATGGGGCAATTTTCGGATAAGGAGGTGACAACGGAATCATCCATTAGTGTCTTATCCTGCATGTGATGTGATGTTCAAGCTGTGGTGGGTACAAAAATCCCTAGCCAAATATAGAAAAAATCTTTGAAGAACACCAATATAGAATGACTTTAAAATATGATGCTTTATGGTTACTTATTTATTGGTTTATTGCTACTTGTTAGTAACAACTAACTTACTGTTACTATGCTAGCAGCTATACTCACAAGATGGGTTGAGTCGACATATCTTTTAACCTGTGAATTATGCTTTGC